CATGTTTTGAAATTTTAAGCTTGCCAGAATCTATGTGGTTGGTACTTGTACTCTGGTCAGCCCATTTTTCTTCTTTTTCTGAAGAGCAATGTACACATGATATAGGAGTTTTGTTGCTGCTCCAGGCTTTTCTATGATGATGCTTAGGGCCATGTTCTTATCAAACTGCACCCTCAGAAGGTGAAGTGTTGGCTCCAAGCAGTAATGATTATGAAGTGTGGCTTTTGAAATCCTGCTGTCTGAAAATTCTCAAGTGAAGCTCTGCACTTCATACCAATCTTCTGGCATGAGCTCAAGCCACAACCCTTCAACTGATATTAATCAAGTGAGAGAGTGAGAGAGACTGGGGATGCAGCTCATAGGAGAGAGTGAGAACGAGACCTGAGATGTAGCTGAGTGGAGCAGGTGCCTGACTGTTAAGCACAAGGTCCTGAGTTCGATTCTCTCTCCCTCTCTCCAGGCCCTGAGAGGGAGGCAGAGAGCCAGAGATCCAGGGAGCTTCCTGTCTTTTAGAACTTTTTCCCCTCTTCTCTCTAGAAGCCCTTCTGTGGTTTATTTGCCTATATTATGTGTTCATATTTGTGTTGAGGATAGTCTTTAATAATTTTTTTCTTTTCCAGTTATCACTTGTACAGATTGAAAATACCTTCTCTAATTTTAATTCTTGCATTAATTTTGTCAAGGATATTCTTTGCTGTACAGAAATCCTGTTACTCTTTTTGTATCTTTTTATAATCACCTTAACATTTGTGCCTTGAAAAACTTATATCTGAATGTTTTTCCACTCTTACCACATGAGAAAGTAGTTTTCTTATATTTCTTTCATACTTTACATTTTCTTATTTCATATGTTTGCCTTCTATCTGCTTGGAGTGCACCTTTGAAATTTTTTCATGTAGAAAATCAAGTTTACTTCTCCCAGAAACTGTACAATTTACCACAAGTCTGTGATCAATCATCGGTTCCTCTTGATTTGTACTGCCAATCATATCCAACCTCACTTTAGAATGAAGCACAAGTATTTCTTGATATTTCTTGCATTTAGACCTAAATAACTGGAACTCTACAGTGTGTCGGAAAAAAGGGAAAGGGAAACTTTTCTTTACTTTTTTTGAGATTTGAAAAATAGAGTGCTGTCCTTTGTTTTTCAGAATGTATTGTAGAAGATTTTTGTCACATTTATTGTTGCTTCAGTGGTATTATAAATATAGTGGTATTAAGAAAGAATTTAAAGAATTTATAGCATATTACATCATCAAATCTAGTTTTTATATTTTCTACATATTCAGATAATCTTCTCCAATTTAGTTTTCTTTTGGTTTTTTGAGATAAGGTTACTCTTTCTCAGAAATTAAAATATCAATAGTCTCTGTAAATATTTCTCATTTTCATTGAGTTTTGGAGTTTTGATAAGCACCTTTCTATTTTTTTTCCCCTGAATTTATTGTGCAAGCAAGCCTAGAATTTCTGAATGTGTGGATGGAGAAATATGTTAATATACTTGATCGATATTTTGGAAAACATTTAGCATTTCTACTTCCAGGAAGATGGTGGAGTGGTAAACAGCAACAAATCAACCTTTCTGATTCAAAATCCAGACAATGGAAAACAACCACTTAAGGAAGAAAAGGAGGAAGGTGGATCCTCAGGACCCAGGAAGGGTCTGAGAGAAAATTGGAGCCCACAGAGAAAATAGATAGATCACAACACAGAAAAAGGAAGGGGCAATCTGCACCCTCTCTCCCAGCATGAGAGGAGTATTGAATTTATAGACAAAGTGAAAGGTGGTGACTCAAGAGGCCTCCAGGGAGAAACACACCAGTGTAACAGTGACCGTGTGCTACAACAGCTGGTGTGTGACTCCAGGCAAGTGACTACCATATCCCCTGAAAAGGGTGCTTGGCCACCTGCCATTTTAGGGAGGGGACAACTGAGCCTGGGACGTGGAGCAGCTGGGTGTTGGCTTCATTCAGGGTTCCCAGTGTTGAAATCTCAGTGACTGGGTGACGGACAAATGCAGGAGATGTCCAACTTCAGAGAACCAACATCAAGCCAGCAAGAGACACTCAGTGTTGTAGGCTGAACAACTCAGGCCCCAATCCAACCAGAGGCCAGGATTAGTGTGAACTTCTGTGGAATTGCAAGTACCAGAATAGGTAGTGCTGGGATCAGCCAGCATGAATCGGAGCTCTGTTGTCTACCAGTGACAGCAGAGACACAGTGTGAATTAGACACTACCACAAATTTCTGAATCAAGAAGATATAAAAATTCTAAATAACCCAGTATCAGTCAGTGAAATTGAAGAAGTAATTAAAAACCTACTAACAAAGCCTGGGTCCTCACAAATTCTCTGCTGAATTCTACAAGAATTTTAGAGAAGATCTAATCCAAGGCCATTAAGCCTTGAACTCTAATGAAATTGAAAGGGAAGCAATAGCCCCAAACTCATTCCTGGAAGCAAGCATTACCCTCATACTAAAACCAGAGAAGGATCCAACCAAAACATGAGCACTATAGGCCAATCTCCCTAATGAACAGAGATGCAAACATCCTCAATAAGATACTGGCAAACAGAATACAGCAAATCATCAAGAAGATCATACATTATGACCAGGTAGGATTCATCGCACGGATGCAGGGGTGGTTCAACAAATGCAAATCAACAAATGTAATATACTATATTAACAGAGGCAAGGACAAAAACCACATGATCATCTCAATAGACGCAGAAAAGGCATTTGACAAAGTCCAACACCCATTCATGATAAAAAAAACCCTACAAAAAATTGGGACAGTATCAATCTGTGTCAAACCAACAGCCAACATTATACTAAATGGTCAAAAACTTAAAGCTTTCACTCTAAAATCAAGAACAAGATAAGGATGTCCACTATCACCACTCCTATTCAATATAGTTCTAGAAACATTAGCCAGAGCAATTATATAAGAGAAATAAAAGGAATAAGGATAGGAAAGGAGGAAGTTAAATTATCATTATTTGTGGATGACATGATACTCTACATAGAAGACCCCAAAAACTCCACCAAAGACTTGTATATTTAATAGCCAAATTTGGTAGCATAGCTGGATACAAAGTCAACACTCAAAAATCAATCTCATTCCTGTACACAAATAACAAACTCACTGAGAGAGAAATAAGAGAAATAACATCTTTCACAATAGCATCAAAAAATAAAAATAAAAAAAACAAGTACTCAGGCAATCAATGTAATGAGGAAGTGAAAGACTTTTACAATGAAAACAGTACTCTGAAAAGGAGATCGAAGAGGATATCAGAAAACAGAAAGATATCCCTTGTTCTTGGGTAGGAAGAACCAACACAGTGAAAATGGCCATACTTCCAAAACTGTTATACAAATTTAATGCCATCGCAGCCAAAATACCAATAGCATATCTCACAGAATTAGAGAAAGCAATCCTAAAATTCATTTGGGATCAGAAGAGACCTAGAATAGCAAAACTAATTCTGTGCAACCAAGGCAAGGCAGAGGGCATCACAATTCCTGGCTTGAAATTATACTACAAAACTACCATGATAAAAACAACATGGTACTGGGGGAAAAAAAAAAAAAGGACAGGAGGATCAGTGGAACAGAATTGAAGATGCAGAAACAACTTTAAACATACTCAGCTAACTGATCTTTGACAAAGCGGCCAAACACTTTCACAGGAAGAAAGACAGCCTCTTTAAAAAATGGTACTAGGAAAACTGGCTTTCCACATGTCAAAGATTCAATCTAGATCCATATCTCTCACCGTGACTAAACTAAAATAGAAATGGATCAGTGATCTAAAACAAGAACACTTGATCTGATGGAAAATAAGAATAGGTAAAACTCTTTGAGGACATAGGCATAGACTTTATGAACAAAACCCCCATTACACAGGAAATATCACAAAGAATCAACAACTGGGGTCTCATTTTATTAAAAAGCTTTTACACAGCAAAAGAAACCACCAACAGAGTGAACAGACAACCCACAGAACAGGAAAAATATTTTACCAGGTGTTTCTCAGACAAAGGACTAATATCTAGAATGTATCAAGAACTCAAAAAAAATCAGACTCCCCCCTAATTTAAAGACACAATCCAAAAATGGGCATCTGAAATGAATAGACATTTCTCAGATGAAGAAGTAATTTGAGAAATGCAAATTAAAGCAACACTGAGATTCCATCTCACTCTAGAAATAGTTATCATCAAGAAATTAAGCAATAACAAATGCTACTGAGGCTGTGGGGAAAAAGGAACCCTTCTTCACTGTAGGCAGGAGTGTATACTGGTATAACCAATGTGTAAATCAGTATGGAGATTCCTCAAAAAACTAAAACTAGAGGTTCCATTTGACCCAGCTGTTCCCCTTCTAGGTATCTTCCTGAAAAATTTAAAAGCATCATAACATAGTGATATATGCGCACCCATATTTATAGTAGCAGAATTTGTAATAGCTAAATCTTGGAAATAGCCCAGATGCCCATCAACAGGTGAATGGATAAAGAAGATGTTTTTATATACAATGGAGTACTACTCAGCCATAAAGAAAGATAAACTTGAGACACTTTTAGGAAAATGGATGCACCTTGAGAACATAATTTTAAGTGAAATCAGAGCCACAAGTTTAAATAGCGCACTCTTTCTTTTGTGTGAAAAGCCCAGAGGGTAAATAAGGATCAAAATGGATAAAAGACATTGGAAAGTAGCAAGAAAATGTTCAAGTGGAACAAGGGAGGTGGGAGGAGAAAGGGAAAGGAGGGACTAGAGATTTAAAAAAATGAGATTAAAACTAGAAATTAAAATAAAAAAGAATGGAAGGAAAACAATAGAAACACAGTTTTCTAAGGGGAGAGGGGAAAAAAGGTTGATGAGAAGGGAGGGGAATGGGAAAAAAGAGAATTAAGATATATTATGTACAGGAACAAATTCCCTATGGTGAATGTGATCATTATGTCTCATTATGTCAAACATGTACCAATAAAATTTATTTTACAAAAAGGTTTATTTCTGATAGTGCCATACAATCTTCTATTTAGGTAATCCGCATTCTCTCATACTTTGACCAAGTATCTACCACGGCTGAATTTTTAAATGGTTGCCACTTGTATCTGAGTCTTTAATGCTGCTGCCTTTCCTTCATGGCTTACATTAGGGACCTACATGGTCTAAAGGGTCAAGCAGAAATTCATCCCCTTACCCTTAATTTTCATATGTGTAATTTTTTGAAAGTGACTAGAAATATTTTACAATGTACCTCATATTTATAAGGCTGGAATTAATGAAAATGTGTGCATTTTATACAGAAAGATCAGGAAATTTGTAGTACAATTTTTATGATTAGAACTTGTAAATCTAGAGAAATATTTCTTCATTGGAAGATAGATGAAAGCTGGAAAGTTGGGGTCTTTAAATAAAACCTGAAACAAAAGCCTTAAAATGGAATCACCTTGACTCTATTTTAACAATGGTTCTGTACAGCACCCTCAACTTCCTGAGATCGGGGTGGTGGAGGGAGATGGTTTGCTTTCCTGCCCAGTCTCTGCCACTCCCAAGTTGTTAACTTCTTCCCACTTTAGCTTCCAAAATTCTAAAATGAAGACACCATCAGGTGCGGTGGCTGAGGCAGGAGCATTGCAAATTTAAGCCCAGTCTGGGCAACCTGGTGAGACTTTGTCTTAAAACAAGAAAGAAGGGCTACGGACGTAGCTCAGTGGGAAGGCCCTGGGTTCAAGCCCCAGTGCTGCTAAATAAATAAATAGGAAGTTCAGAGCCTGAAGGAAAAAAAAAAACCAATTTTTAACACTATGTCTCTGCTAATTGATAATGAACTGTGCTCAGAAAGGCTGGTTACCCTGACGTGACTAAACTAAGACTCAGTGATGCATATCGCTGCCTTGGGCATGTTAAGGAAGAGACCTAACATCCCATGAGTTCTTTCAACACAGATCGCAAATATATGCCACATTTTGGTAATTTTTATATCTTTTCTCCTTGGGTAGGGACAGAGTTGATAAATTATTAAGAGAACTGCATTAGGTGTCCCAAGTCACATGCATGAGGAACTGCAAAATAATGAAAATAACAGCCATCATTTCTGTAGACACACTATGTCCCAAAGACACTTCCATGTTCAGTTTGCATCCATTTATCATTTTTTTCACATGATGTCTCTAGCACCAGAAATGTGACCATGCAGTTTCCGGATGAGATGACGAGCTGTACTGCAGACTTCCCAGACCACACCTGTACATGGCAGATCAGAGATGTGAATTCCAGCACCCTGAATTTAGGGTCCACACCCATCAAATTCACTGTTAATACATCAAGGATATTTGCTCTCGCGATAAAGCAGTCACAGATTGAAGCTGCCTCTGACACAATATAACTCTGTGTATGCCTCAGTGGTTGAAGTCCTTGAAAAAGCTGAGACATGCTGGTGTATTTTCCATTTGAAGTAATGGGAACACGGGGTCTGGTGGTCCCTGAATCTGTCCTCTGATGCCCTCTATGGAATAGATTAGATGTGGGCAGCAAGAGATACCTACGTACAAAGGTGTTTTATAAACGGTACAGTGCTGTCCCATCTCCAGGTAAACTTGAGAGCAGACCCCCTTCATTGAAGGAGAGTCCTCTGTGCAGTCAGGTGGTCACCTCTGATGCCTGGGTGAGGACAGGGGCAGAAAGCTCGGGCTCAGTCGGAGGTCTGTGGCTGGCTCGAGGATAGAATCTGTAGTCCCAGCACAGGCCTCTCTTTCCTCTTCTGTGTAATCTCATCTTTTATTGTTTCCGTGTTGGGGACAGAGCCCAGGGCCTTGTGCAAGCTAAGTTCACATTCTTGAGTTCCACCTCTGACTGCTGTAACTTTATCTTTTACAATATGACCAGTTTGCTGGTGCTGAGATCACTGTCCCCTTTCAAACAATGAATGGGTGATCACAGTGGAATGGCTTTCTACCTCGCCCTGAACCTGGCTCTTGGTGGAACGGGAGGGCCGAGGCTGGGTCGCTATAGCTCGTCTTGGTCACTTCTCTCTCGGGAAGACACCCACCGACTGAGAATCACCTCCTGCAAATGAGCAAACAGAGGTGACTGCGTGCCCAACACAGAAGCGGAAGAATGTGCCAAGCATTGGCTCCACAGCTCTGCTTCACAAACAGCTGTCGGTGCAGTGAGCTGGCACCGCTGCCATTCCTGGATCAGCCAGCCCGGGGACAGGGGACCCCTCCCGTGCAAACCGCATCCGCCATCACTGTGCACAGCTGTGCTTTGGAGGAGGCTGAGGCTGAACCCGAACCTTGCACTGAACCTTTTATTGCATCCCAGACCTTTTAACCCTTCAGTGCTTAGTGATCCATTTCTGGAATACCCATGACAATGGAACATAATGAAATGTGTTCTCTTCACATTCTTGTTCCTTGAAATTTTTCTAGGTAATATATATACAAATCTCATACAAAAATTCAAAAAATTTCAATCTTCGTATAAATGGGTTAATTTTGAGCCCAGGTCTCACTCAGCTGGCTTCAAACTCATGATCCTCCTTCCTCAGCCTCCCAGTGGCTGGGATGACTGGCATGCAAAGCTTCTGAAGACTGAACTGGCCTCAGCCATGCATTGGCTCAGCCTGGGGGAGGCCCTGGCTTCCATTCGCAGCACCAGAAAAAGAGTGTTCAAGCCGGGGAGGACCCAAGAGAACACTTGTCACCGGAAAAGACCTTTGTACTTTGTGGCACCACATGTTCCAGATACTATGCTTGATCTTAGCCAAAAGGCCAAGATGTGACTGCACCACATGTTCCAGAGGACACAGAGGACTCAGGCCTTTGGGACACATAAGTGTACCCACTAGGGACTCACCTGGACCTTGATTCTCCTCAGACATTCTGGGGACTTCATGTCTTCATCTGTCATGGTGGAGGGTTTAATCAAGTAGCACAGCATAAGTTCCTGTTGGGAAGGAAAAGGCCATTTCCATATGCTATGGTGACAGCAGAACACAGGTGGTGAGCCAGGGACCCACCCAGCCCCACTACCTCCTGCTGTGACCTGGAGATGCAGGTTTCCCCCGGGAACTTGGAACCAGTGCTTGGCTTGATCGATAAGGAGCTGCCAGTCAGTGATCACTGCCAGGGCTGAAGACGCGGTGAGGCATATGCTGACTATAAACAGTACAGACCTCTACTGCACGGCACGCCTCAGTTTTGTACCCACCCACACTCCCAGTGAGACAAAGCAGGGGCAGGTGCCCATGGGCTGTCAGTCAGCAAACACTGGGGGTGAAGGGGCACTAGGGATGGACCTGGTGAAGGCCAAGCAGGTGCTCTTGCCCTGAGTGACATCCCCAGCCCAAAGCTGGAGTTGGTGACTGACTGCCCTAGTGTAGTATGAAACTTCCCTCCTGTCTTTGCTGAAAGACAACTGGAGCCCAGATGGGCCATGGCCTGGCATTAGTCACCTGGTGTCTCTTAGGATGAGATGACAGGGTGGCCAGGTGTTGAGCAGCTCATTCAAATCCCTTCCTTTATCTTTCAAGGGATCTGGAAACTGAGAAAAAAATTGTGCCACCAATGTTTTTGTTCCTTTGTGAATGTGTGAGTGGCAACACAACTGTAAGAGGAAGCAGCCCGTGAACAGTGACAGCTTGGAAGGAAGCTGACACATGTTAGATGCCATAGGACCTGGGGCCACGCCCCTGTAGGTGAGAGTGCACGGACACCAAAGTGGAACAGGACAAGAGGTCAGCTTCCGGCTCAGTAAAGGAGGGGTGCAAAAGACCTGAATCTTGCAGCATTTCACTGGCAGAAACATCATGAAGTTTCTAACAGTGACTTTTTGGATTCTACTACATAAAAAAAAAAAACCATGCTGTTTCTGTGGCACTAGAATGCCAGGCTGCTGTGGGTTACCTTGGAGACATTGCCAGAAACTCTGCTGAGGGTGGCCAGTGACTTCCAAGTGAAAGGTCTGCGGAGGGGGCCCGTGAAGCGCTCATCCACGAGCTCCACGATGACAGAATAGCTGCAAAATACCGACCAGCTTTGAGCACAAGGTGGGGAGTGAATCCACATCGGATCCTAATGCCCCATGCTGCAGCTGAGAAAACACTAATGAAAAGCCATGGTAAAGAACAATCTTTAGGCTGATTTTACACTCACAGGAAAAGAACAGAAATGCTTTTCCCACTATGAAAGCTATAAATTCACTCAACTTTTGAGATGCTAATACTCACTGATGTTAAGATGAACAATCACTGCACACAGTGACTCGATGTTTAACACAAAAACACACCCTGCCATCACCTACACATTATTCTCTCTAGATGGTAACAGTGTGAGTTCGAGGCATGGACTTTTCTTCCTATTTTTGTGGTGCTGGGATGGAACCTGGGGCTTCACAGCTATGCGCTCCACCCTGAGCTGAGCATGGACATTTAATATTGATTTCCATCAGGGCCAGGAGGAACACAGCTTTCAACTGTCTCTATGGTGCTGAAAACAGAACTGGAAGCCAGAAACTTCCTTGTACCCTTTAATCTATTATTTTATTTAATAATTGCTCCAAACCTTGCATGGTAGAAGGGAGGGCCTTTCCGATATAGCACTGCAAAGAAGAAAAGACAATGTATAAACACTCAGATCAAAAGCGCACTTTACAACATGACTTTTTTTCCTTCTCTAAAGGGACTCGATCATCCAATTATCTGCATGTGAGCTTGGCAATATACCTTGTGGTCTATTTAAAAATGTGCATTACTCCCTCACTGCAACGAAGTATAATTAATAAAGAAAATTTGCTGCCAAGACCCTCACCCCTCCCTCCCCACACCAATCTCAAAGGTCAAGTACAGTGATTTTTTTTCCTCTTTTTTTTGGGGGGGGGGCGTACCAGGGATTGAATTTGGGACCTTGCACTTGCGAGGCAGGTGGTGGCACCACAGAGCTAAATCCTGGCCCCAGTGATTTTTTTTTTTAAGTCTAGTGTGGGAGACCAATCCCAGCAGGTGACTCCTGCCTGCCTCTTACCCCACCCAGGGTAAGAGCGTGAGATTTCATCAAGACTGTAATACTCACACTGTCTCACAACATTTGTTGTTCATTTCAAATCAAGCAACTTCAGAGCGTCTGAGAAGTTACCCTGGCCAAGTGTCAGGGCCAGAGGTTAGAGGAAAGCCTATTCTAAGAAGTTCAGTCTCATGAATAGGTTTAAGAAATTCAAAGTCAAGTGGTATTAAAAAAAAAAAACCCACCAGATGTGGTGATCCACACCTGTAATTCCAGCACTCAAGTGGCTAAAGCAAGAGGATCACTGTGAGTTCGAGGCCAGCCTGAACTACATAGTGAGACCCTGTCACAAAAAAATAAACAAAAGCCATTATAACTACTCCTCCAGCCAGGAGTGCATGTGTCCTGCTCTTGGGGTACGGGCAGAGGTGGGGTGGGGTCAATTTAGTCCTTAGGGGTCAAGAGGTGCTCAGTAAGGGGGTTGGGGCTGGGGCTTTTGCAGGGTATCCTCTGCCCTGGGGCAGAGATCACTCTGACAGTTACTGTCATGTCAACTTGAGTAAGAAAGCCCAGCTGACTGGATTAGCACGGTTCTGGGAGTGGCTCAAGACCCACCCTGGGTGCGAATGGCTCCAGCCAGTAGGGTTACAGCCTGAATGGAATAAAAGGGGAAGAAGGAAGGCTCAGCTGCTGTTTCTTGGAGGAGCTCCAGTCTCTGTCTTTGCCTTGGATGTCATCTCCTGGCTTCCAGCTTAGTCCCTTGGGCCTCCTGATACCGACTCTCACGGGACTCTGCAGTGAGCTCCAATCTCCCATCTCTGGCGGGATCCCTCAGCTCTCCAGCACTAAGAGCCCTTCTGCACTCTTCCACACCTGACTCTGTGGCGGCCACTGTAAGTCCACCCTGTAAATGCTGATATATTTACATATCTTGCTTTACATCTGTTCCTCTAGTGAGCACTGACTGACACACCAGCCAGCTGCTCACCAAACCCCCTTCTCCTTCCTCCCGGGAGCTTGGCCAGGCCACAATTCTGACTCCCAAGCAGCCAGGCAGGGTGGTGGATGGGTACTGCGCTGGCCCATCGTGAAGGTGACCTTGGAAGCTGCATGCTAGAGACCAGGAGCCACGGGAAGTGGCCTGTGGTCCTGAAGCACAGTTTGGAGTTGATGCCCACCACTCCTGAGCCCTGAACCCTGGTGTTAACAAGTGACTCTGGCCATGGGAATCACTGTCACCGCCGCACAGGTCTATCCGTCAGCTCTCAGCTGTCCCCTGTGCTAAAACTCACGCAGGCACATTCAAGGAAGAGTTTCATTTCCCTTGAGGAACTGACAGAATTTTTCTTTTCGGTCAGATCAGTCACATAGCGGGTCACCTGCCCCTCGGGCTGATGAAGGCAGCATGAAGCTCAAACAGGGTGGGGACACCTTGCAGACACCCTGGCAAGACCTCACCTCCTCTTGTGTTGCTAGTCTGTGTTTCCCACAGTCATATTTCCTTTTCATTTCTGTATTTCCCATTTAAGTTGTATTTAAAGTATCCAGCAAATCAGCTCAGTCACTGGGGCACAAGCTTTAGTAACTATGCAAATACTGTACATGCAAACAATTCTCAACTTCCTGAGATCGGGGTGGTGGAGAGAGATGGCCAGGACGAAGGTGGACTTCAGGGTTTGCTTTCCTGCCCAATCACTGCCGCTCTGAGTTGTTAATTTCTTCCCACCTCAGCTTCTAAAATTCCAAAATGAAGACACAGTCAGGTGCAGTGGCTGAGATGGGAGGATGGCAAATGCAAGCCCCACCTGGGCAACTTGGTGAGACCTTGTCTCAAGAAAAAAGGGGGCCAGGGATGTAGCTCAATGTGAAGGTCATGGGTGCAATCCTGTCCGCTAAAGAAATAGGAAGTTCAGAGCATGATCTCAGCCTCTGAGAGAGCCCAGTCACCCCTCAACAGCATCAAGACCATGTGACCACATCTATTTCCTACGCAACATGAGAGTGCAAAAGCCGAAGTATTGGCACGGTGCCTGGCAAACAGTAAGTGCCAAAATACCTCCCCTCTAAAAGATGAAAGCTTCAGAAAATGCAGAAATACTGGGCATTTCCCAGTGAGGTCTGGGAGCTGGGAGTGTGACAAGGTGTGCTTTGCATGGACAGGGCGTTTGGTTCTATCCTCAGTGCCTCACTCTCCAAAAACACTAAAATTTATATTTAAAAAATAGGGCCAGGGACGTGGCTCAGTGGTGCCATGCCTGCCTGGCAAGTACAAGGTCCTGAGTTCGATCCCTAGTACCGTAATATAAATAAATAAATAAAATTTAAAAATAAAAATAAGGTCTGAAAGAATGGGACTGAGGGTGGGGGAGAACGGGTCTAGGAGTGCAGCTCAGTGGCTGAGCCTTCTGTGGCACACGTGATGCCTGGGCTCCATCCCATCACCACAGTTAGAAAGCTAACTCTTCCTCACAGATTGAATGCTCACACGGCAGTGAAGGGACCAGGAGAAACAATGCCACGATTCACTCAGATGTCCATCAGATGACCAGGGAGCCAGCTATTCACAGCACCCTGCTACAGACTATGTGTTAATTGCCAAGGGGAAAATATAACTTTATGGCAGACATCTGACAGTGGTTACATCAGCCAAGTGGAACTACCCTATGTCACGTCCCTTCCCTCCTAAAGTTACAGTATTATGAGTTGTGTCTAGATGTCCCCGCAAAGCCTCAGGTGGTCATAGGTGGGGCTTTTCAGAGGTGACTGGTGTGTGAATGTGGATTAAGGGTGTGTGGTACTAGATTAGTTCACTAATTGGTTTTGGATTGTTCTGGGTGTGTATAATGGAAAGGCCCATCCTGGGTATGAGTGGCACACCCACCAAAAGGCAGGTAGCCTGGATGGAATAAAAGGGAAAGGAAGGCTGCTGCTGCCGCTGCCTCATACCTGCCATGCCATGGACTGTTTCTCCTCTATGATGCTCCTCTGCTATGTCACCCTGTCTTGGAGCCAGCTGACTATGGACTGAAACCTTTACAAACTGTGAGCCAAAATAAACCTTTCCTCCTTTAACTTTGAGTGTCAGGTATTTTAACTCACCAATTAGAAAAGTAATTAAGACATATAGTAAGTACACACATCACCTATGTGTGCCAAAAGTTGATGAGGGTACATTCAGCCTTACAGGATGGGGACCATCCTATGTCATGCTTCCAAAAAAGTCAATGTCATGAAAAATAAGCAGGTAGAGGAACCACTTTAAATTAAAAACATCCAAGATATGACCATGTCCTAATTCCTGGGACCTACAAATGTGACCTTACTCGGGAAACAGGGTCTTGGCAGAGGTACTGGAGCATGTAGGTGGCCCCAAATCCAATGGCAATCAGATCACTGTTGCCAGTACTGCTCCAGCAATGAAATCGACAAGGTTTATTCAAGAGAAGAGTCTCCAGATAAGGTGTAACTTTCATAATGGCCCTTTATCACGAGTCCTTACTGCAGAAAGAAAACAACTGTTAAGAGAGCCTGATCTGGGCTTAATTTAGGCTGTCGAGGTTGGTTTTTTTTTCTTTCTGTATTAGGGATGGAAACCAGGGCCTTGTACATACTAAGCAAGCACTGAACCACTGAAGTACAACCTAGTCCTTTTTATTTTTAATTTTGAGACAGGGTCTCTCTTAAGTTGGCCAGGTGAAAATCAAACTTAAGATCCTCTGCCTCGGCCTCCAGAGTAGCTGGGGCCTAGGAGGACACTGGCCCTCAGAATTAGAATACTGCTATTAGGAAGCAGTGGGGCTGCTTGTCCAGAAAGAAGCAGAGGAGGTGGGAAGCCATTCTTCCTGTCCCAGGCCATGTGCAATGTCCCATATGAATTGTGGAAGTGACCAGCAGCAGGCACTATGTCTCAACTGGGAACAGGGAAATGAGCACTCCTTTGCTTTTTAAAAAATCCACCATCCACCCATTGGTCCATTCATCTGTCCTTCCAGTCACCCTACAAGACGGACTGCTTGCTCATTTATCTACATATTTGCATTTTGCTGGACTGGGGACTGAACCCAGGGCTCCTGAATGCTTGCACCCTAGCCTGAGGAAGTTTATTTCTAGGCCAGGCTTTTTCTCCACATCCTTCCCCACCTCTGGCCTGAATGTAAATACAGAGTTCCAGGGGTGTGGCCTGCTTAGTGCCCCATACGCACATGTCATCATCTGTCTTTCTCCTGTTTTACAACAATATTTTCTGAGACAAGGTCTTGCTTTGTTTGCCCAGGATAGTGAGCCTCGAACCTAAGATCTTCCTGCCTCAGCCTCCTGAGTGCTAGGATTATAGGGTTCGGCCTCCTGCAGCTCCTGGAAATGATCCTGGACCAGTGACCCTTCCCTCTCAGGAGAGTGAGGAGCAGAGTACCCGGCACACAGCATCACACCCCACTGCTTCGAGGACTGAGCTCAGGACTGCAGCAGGACGGTGCCCACACAAAGTAGGGTCCACAGGCGATGCTGTGAGCAGGGTGCAGTGCACGGTTACTCTCGCCTGGCAGACGAGGCACCTGAGGGCCACAGAGTGGGACTGACTGGACTCACAGGGCTCGGGGCTCTTTAGAGGGCAGCAGAGGGAAACTTTCTGCATCCTCTAGAGCCCCCGGTTGGTGCCACGTGCCCAGCAGCTGTGTCACTGAAAGCTCTAAGGGGCCCCGCCCCTTGCCACTCTTCTACAGGCACGAAGCAAACAAGAGCGAAGGCCTGGGGTGGGTCTGCGGCTGCTCCCCAGGTTGCCCGACTCCATTCTCGAGACTCACCCTCCCTCCTACTCCAAATCATTTCTTTCTTTCTTTTTTGTTTTGTTTTCAGTGCTAGGATTGAACCCAGGGCTTTTACACAGCATCATACCCTCAGTCCCTTTAAAGATGTTTTGAGACAGGTTCTCTCCAAGTTTCCCAGGCTGAGCTCAAACTTGTGACCTTCCTGCCTCAGATTCCCAGAGTGCTCAAGTGCCCAAGATCCTTATCTAAACCAGGGAAGATCAGCACCAGCACATCCACTGCTCTCCCTGGTTTCCCATGTCACCCTGCACCGCTGAACAGAGGGTTACTCACGCAGATCTGTCCCATACTTGAGCCCCGTCTTGGGCACCCAGCCCTTGCTCCGGAAGTAGTGGTAGGCCCCGTAGGTCGTCCTGAATGTGGGCTGAATTGCCGTGAATGCCTGCCAGAGCTTCACGATTGTCAGGGGTTCCTACGGTTATTTAAACAGAAGTGGCACTGATAACGTACGCTCCATTCCCCCTTGCCAATAACAACATCTGTCTGGTGCGGAGCCTCAGCAGCAGCAGTGGTGGGGACAAATGCACGGCCCTCCTGGGGCCCCCTGACTGTGCTCTCCAATGTGGCAGCCATCACCCTCCTCCAACAGAGAGGTGCTGTGAGTGTAAACTACACACCAGTCCAACCGGGCAGGATATGCTGCCTAAACCACGGATATGTTGGGTTAAATGAACTATGTAATATTATCACTAAAAGTAACCTCACCTGCTTTTTAGACATGAATCAAGTAGGGCTGTTTTGCTTTTTTTTTTTTAGGCAGAGTCTCACTGTGTAGTCCAGATGGGTCATGATCTTGTGGCGATTTACCTGCCTCAGCCTCCTAGTGCTAGGATTATAGGTGTGTGTACTACACCAGGCTCACCTGTGTTTTTCTTTTTAAATTTTTTTTCTCCTTTTTTTTTCTTTTTGAATTTTAATGTGGCTACCAGAAAAATAGAAAATGATTCACACGGCAACCACTGCATTCCCTCGGGACAGTGGGGGTCTAGGGATGCAGAAAGGCAGATTCTGAGGCTGGGGTACAGCTCAGTGGTAGATCACGTGCTTAGCATGCACAGGCTCTGGGTTCCATCCCAGCACCAGAGAAGGGGGTAGAAAGGGAAGGCAACATCTGACATGAGGTGGAGCCAGAGAGAGGGCTGGGAGGGATACCCCAGGCTAGAAAGTAGCTTGGGCCTCATGCTGTGGTATAACCACCAAAGCAGAGGGCAGTGGTTAAACATTTCCCAAGTCCTTAGTGAGCAGCTACTGTATGCCAGGCCACATTCAGAAAAGGAATAGGTGCACATAGTGTTACATGACAGTAATCTCAGCTCTGGAGGAGGCTGAGGCAGGAGGATTGCAAATTTGAGGCTAGTCCAGGCAATTCAGTGGGATCTTGTCTCAAAATTAAAAGAAATAAAATAAAGGGCAGAGGGTACAGCTTGCATGAGGCCCTGGGTTCAAGCCCCAGTACTCCAAAGGAAAAAAATAATTGTGTAAGTAAAATTTTCATTAAAAAACTGAAGGTGCTCCATCTCAGTCTTTGGAGTTATGGTAACAGCCGCCTGCTGGAACAATATAATAATCTGAGTGTTCACAGAGGTGACGGAACAGGGCAGCTGGGGCAGTCTGCTCCCAGAAACCAGGACCTGGTATACCATGGAACTGGGCAAGAGGAGCTCCCATTCAGTGCTCAGAGAACTGACTTCAGTGCTCCTTGCAATGTGGATGGGCTCGGTGCATCCAGGCTGAAGGATTTAACCCCACAGATGCAGCTCAGAGGCAGGCCGGCTCCATTCCCAGCACCATGGCGGTGAAACCTGCCAGAAATGAGCCTGAGCGCATTGCTGTGTTTCCTTTCCTTCTCTTTTGTGCTCCTTAGATGAAAACTCCACACATGTGAGCTGTGCCTCCTCTAATGAGGAGGCTGGAGAGCCAGGTGTCTCCAGATATTGAGGGCTCTGCTCAGCTGCAGCATCTGGCAGATCCCAGCTGACCATAAAAGGGGGTTGTGGAGCTAAGAGTGACTACCACAGGGGAAAACAAGTCACTCCCGCCAAACGCACTTCCAAACCACTGAATACTCATGTAAGTAAAATATGAGAAGAAATGTTCACTGGCGTGGTAGCCCACACCCATATTCTTAGCTATGTAGGAGGCTGAGGTAGGAGGACTGCAAGTTTAAGGAGATCATGGGCTACACAGCGAGACCCTGCTTTAAAATAAAATACAAAGGGGTGAGAACATAGCTCAGTGGTAGAACACTTGTCTAGTGTGTGGAAGACCCTGAGGCCAATCTCTAGTACTGACAGAAAGAGCGAGACAGAGAGAGAGGAGAGAGAGAGAGAGAGAGAGAGATCGAGGTCAGAACTGGATGATAAAATTATGGACATGTAAGGCCCAGACAAAATACTCCCTCTGTCCTATTTACCATTCTGCTTACCTTTCTACTTTACCTGACTTATTCTGAACAGGTATTATAATTACACAGTCTGAAATTCCAAAGGCACAATGAGTGTCTGGTGCAGCCTCCCTCCCACTCTGTCCCCGGCCGCGGGCTCCATCTGTGTGGCTGTCTTCCCTCTGCATGTGGTGGCCTCGATAGCAAAGCTCACCAGACAGAGGAGACTTTAACCAGAGGAGCGTGCGGCCTTGGATGATTCACCTTCTCTGAGCCTCTTACCAAGTGGAAGCAGATTACCAAACAGCAAATATCAGGTGTTTGACACAGCCTATTAAACATCTATAACTTGTATTTTATCTTTTGGAGTGCTGGGGATTGAATCCAGGGCCTCATACATGCTAGGCAAATGCTGTACCATTTTATTTTTTTAAGACAAAGTCTTGCTGAGTTGTGCAGGATTGCTGAATTTGGAATGCTCCTGTCTCAGCCTCCCGAGGAGCTGGGATTACAGGTATGTGGCACCATGCCTAGCTCTGTTAATTCAGTTCTATTTGGACACAGATTTCCTGGTGTGTGTATAAGATACTGCACCCTTCCTGGTCTACAAGAGTGAAACTCAGCCTAAAAAGGTTAAAGCTGGCTTTGCCTGAACAGCCCCAGTTCAGAACCTAAAGTCAAAACTCAAGAGGAAAAACTTCAATTCCCATTTTATTAAGTAGAAGCAAACACATCTATAGTAAAGCAAAATGGAATAGCCGGGTGTGCTGGCTGTGATCCCAGCACTCAGCAGGTGGAAGCAGGAGGATTGCCATGAGTTCAAGGGCAGCCTGAACCACATGAGACCCTGTCTCAAAAAACTAAACAAAACAGAAGCAATATGGAAATTAATAAACCTACTTTTAACATCAGGGAAATTGCAGGTGGGCTGCAATTACATGAAACATCTTACCTTCTCATAGTAGACACTCAGACACCCCAGCGCATAGACCAGGAAGAAAGCCTAAAAATGAAGCAGGCAGAATGTCCATTAGAAATTGGCTGCATTCTTGAGAAATCACAGTACAGATCCTGTTCCCTTCCTGTCTAATACAAATTAACGTCCTTAAATCATCATCAAACCAGTCACATGCATGGTTTCCCATTATGGAAACTGTTGCTTCAGACTTCATCACACAACACATTCCCCTGGGGACAGCACAATAGGAAGATAAAGTTGCTCTAACATTAAGTGCAGCTAAAAAGAGCTTTCTGATCAACACTGAAAAGCTGCCACTCTGGTACCATTCGAAACCATGTAGTTGTGCTTGCTTCGGCAGCACATATATGAAACCACGTGGTAGTGGCCTGACCCATCCAGGTCACAGGCTCCAGAGACTGCAGTGCAGGAGGCAGCAATGGAGTGGGAGGTCCAGGTGGAAAGGGGTCACTTTTTATTTAATGTTGTTTGTTCTTGGTGCTGGGGATGGAGCTCAGGACCTCACCCTTGCAAGGCCTGTGTGCTATGCTGAGCTGCACCCCAGAGCCAAGACATTCTTTTTGCAACATAAGAAGTATTTTAGAAGACACAAGATTAAATTCATAACCAACTACACAGCTTCTGCTTAGAGCTCTGGCTGCAGCCACCAGGCACAGGGCAGGAAGGGCCTCTTATGGCCCCATTCCGCAGGGAGAGGCCACATTTGCAGAGCCCAGTACCCCCAGGCCACCCTGCCGTGTGCTCAGGACGCAGAAGGTTCCACATGTGTGCTATTCCTCTCGGCAGCCACAGGGCCACATGTGGTTGCTCAGGACTGGAAATATGGCTGGTGCAACTGAGAAACAGAATTTGGGGTTGCATTCAACTTGAGTTACTTTAAACTGGAATAGTCCACTCATGGCTAGAGGCTGCTGTGTTTCACAGTAAACAGTCCCCGTGTGAGATGCAGTAAACACGGCCAAACACACCTTCCTGTGCTGAGTCTGCATGGTGTCACTGGGCTTCCTAAAAGGAATGGAGCCCAGGCTGGGAGACGGGGCAAGAAGCCACCAGCCGCCATCCTGGGACCTCCGAGTGCCTGGCCCTGGAGAAGAGGGGCCCAAGGAGGGCAGTGCCATCAAAGGTGGAAGGAGCTTGCTATGGACAGTGCAGACATAAGCAGGAAAGGTGGGGCAGAGCACAGCACGCCTGGGCGGGAGCCCTGCAAGTCCGAGCAGCAGTACTCAGTACCAGGCCTTGTAGGGAAGGGGTCTCAGCTGAGGTGCAGCCACCATACTGTGGAAAAAAAATTTGCCAAAGTGATGTGACAGCAGAGATGCTCAGATCCACCCACTCGTTGAGTGGTCAGATGCATCGGAGTTTGTGAAACTCCATCAGTAGACTAAAAAACACTGAGGGTACATTTTTTATTTCACTTTGGAGACAGGGTCTCAGTAAGTTGCCTAGGCTGGCTTCAAACTTGAGATCCTTCTGCCTCAGCTGAGTTCCTGGGGTTACAGGCAGCATGCGGCACTATGCCCGGTGGTTTGCGGACTTTATTTTTTTTGCAGTACTGGGGGGTGGAACCCAGGGTCTTGCGTGTATGAGGCAAGTGCTGCCTCACAAAGCTACATCACCGGCCTCGGTCTGTATACCTCAAGTGGATGAATTGATGGTGTGTGAACTGTATCTCCAAAGAGCTATCTGGTTTTTAAAAGTCAGAGGAAATGAGGGCCAGGGATTTTTATCTCAGTGGTTCTGCCACCTGCATTGAAAGCACAAGGACCCCAGTTCAATTCCTGGTACCAAAAAAAAAAAGTTAAGAGGAAATGAGTGATATCCTAGTCAGCCAAGGTGAAAAGGAAGGAAGTGCTAAGATGAGCCGAGCCCCTGCAATGGGAATGACCCCGGACCACTCCCCAGAATGCCGGCTTTCCTGTAGTGCTGGGGATGGAGTCAGGGCCTCTCGTGTGCCAGGCAAGTGCTCACCACTGAGCTGCACTCCAGCCTAGACACAGAGCCGAAGACTGAGGGGGACAGGGGAGGAGTGAAATTTAGGTGGCTTCCATGGACGCTGCCTGTGGGCTTTTAGTACTTGACTGCAACATCCAGTGACTCTGCTACACACAGAACTGCAGGGTGAGGTAGGTTCATGTACACAGAAGGCAGCGCTGCACCTCCCGGAGCTGAAATACCACAATGGAAATGAATTCTCACGTAAAAATGTACCTCTTCCAGGCTGAGCTGCAGATACTCGAAGATCCTATAGGGGTTTCTTCTGCATATTAATCTCTTCCTTTGCACCAACTGAAGAGAGAGAAATAAAATCAACACAATAGAATACACAGATGCACTACAAGCCACATGGAAGAGACTGCATCTAAAAATGAACACTTTCTTGCCAGGCATGGTGTTACATGCCTGCAATCCTAGCACTTGGGAGGCTGAGGTAGGAGGATCAAAGGCCAGCCTGGACTACAAAGTGAGGCCCTGTCTCAAAAACAAACAACCTCCACCCTGCAAAAAACCCAAACAAACAAAAACCCAAAACCACTTTCTTATAAGCGCCCAAGGTTCACTTGCTATTGGGTGATTACTTCAAAAAACTGATTTTTTTATAACTTATGCGGGAAAAGAAGTTTCAATTTCCCCCCACTATTAACAGTTTATTTCCTTTTTCCCCGTGCATTTTTCTTGCAGTTGTGTCTGCACGTGCCTGCTCTTAACAAGACTTCATAAGTGTCATTCTTTCTTGCTCTATGTTCAAGGCCATGTGTAATGACCATGATCATTCTTCAATTATTGGTCTTGCTTTAGCTTATGAGCTTGAGAAGTCAATGTTACCACAATCCTCCCACCCCTACCCCAGCTGTAGTGGAAAGGATGCCCCTGAGGTAGCCCTCCAGCCCGCCTGTTCCTGTGAGTCTCATGGGTCCAGCCGTGTAAAGGGCCCCAGGATTCCCTACCACCACCGAAAGGCCAAGAATAGAGGGCTCTGCAGGCAGGGATTCAGAGTAGCACCTTGTCTCTGGGGACACAGGGTACACTGAACACTATACACTGTGCTTTCCCTATGATACACGAGGTGTGATCAAAACACTTAGTGAATGTGTATATTTTAACAATTTATCACAATCAAAGACTCACTGCCATTCCACTCAAAACACTCTCCATTGCTTTGAGCACACTTTTCCCGCTGTTCTTGCCACTCTGCAGCAGCTCTGGGAGTCCTCTTTCGTGCCTATGAAAATATGATGGATGCTACTGCTGAGGGCCATCCAATGGAAAGGCAGGCTCACAGAAACATTTTGGGGTCCTCATCCACCTTATTCACCAGATCTGGCACTGTGGACTTCTGGCTCTCCCCCAAAGCCAAAATGATCATGAACGGTAAATGCTTTGAATTGTTTCAGGACATTGAGATAGCCACAACAGCACAACTAAAGACACTCATGAAAGAGGACTTCCAGAACTGCTTCAGAAAGTGACAAGAATGACGGGATCAGTGTGTTCAAAGCAATGTTTGGAGGGGGATTAGTGGTGATGTGTCTTTTACTGTAATAAAATTTTTTAAAAATGTAAACACTCCCTGTTTGTCAATCACACTTCAGGTCTAACTTACAAATTAGGCTCAATAAGAGGTTAACAATAACTAATAGTAATAAAGCAGAACAACAACAATATACTGTGATAAGGGTGACACGAGTGTAGTCTTTCTTAAAGCACTCAGGACAGATGGCACTTTTGGGCTATGGGCACTAAAGCCACGAAAATCTCAGCAGTGATGAGGGGACAGACCTTTATGCTCTTCACCTCCTCCACTGCCTGGGTGTCTTCCCTCTCGCTCCCGCCGCTCGCTCCCTCCTCCACCAGCACAAACTCGGGGCCAGGCTCCCTCTCTCTGGCATGGAGGCTGCTGTCCAGAGGCAGAAGGCCACACTGTGGGCTGAGCGCATCCAGTACACAGCTGGAGACCCGGGATGCAGGTGCTGGGTCCTCTCCTGTGCACTCCCCGAAGCTGGCTGCAGCCAGTGGGCCAGGTCCAGAGCCCAGGCCAGGCTTTCCTGTCTCCTTCATGGTTCCAGAGGCTCCATCTATCCCCAGAAGTCCCCCTGTCTCTGCCATGAGCCCAGCCTGAGGTCGCCCCTCTGCACTGCTCTCTCCACCCAGATGCTCAAGTGGCCTTGTGTACTCCTCAAGGACTCGGCACACGGTGTTTTCATCCTGGCCCTGTCTGCGAAGGAGATCTGCGGCCCACGACAGACGATGCTGGTACCTGCAGACGGAAACACTGTAAGCCGCCAGAACTGAAGACAGCAAAGCAAATAAGAGACTGGCCGGGGCTGATAAAACGCTTACAAGTCACACTGGACGGTGGTTACAGGGAAGTTTTTTTTGGTACTGGGGATTAAACCCAGGGCCTTCACGCTGAACTCTATCCCTGACCCTTTTTTATTTTGAGACTGGGCCTTGCTCAGTTGCTAAACTGCCCAAGCTGGGCTTGAACCGGCAATCCTGCCTCACCCTCCCACAGTGCTGGGATTACAGGCATGCACCTCCTATGCTGGCAAAATTTGTATAACTTAAAACCAAAAGATGCAGGTAAGTACACAGAGAAAATAGCCATCTTTTAGCTGCATCCATTTTGTTTTATTTTCAACCTTGGACATCACAATGTTTTCTGATACTCAAGCCGTAATATAAAGACCCTCTATTTAGCAATGCAGAGCAAAATGAGAATTTTGACAAATATTCTTCACAGCACCTAATAACCTCTTCACTAGGTACAGAAAGAGATAATGGCCCCTTTCCCCAGAATAATGTTCACAGTATATTTTAATGAGAAAAAACACATGAAGTTTTTCAAACTGAAGGCAACACCTGAACACTTCCCAAGTTACAAAAAATGGCCCTTTTCCCCTTCGCCTCTCTGTTTTCTCCTGGTGCTGTTGTCCTGTGATCTTCAATAAACGTAAGACTGACAGGCGTACAGGGCTCTGCTGGTTTCTGGACTGAGGCTACCACAAAGTACCTGTGCCACCTGTGATATCACTTGGTCACTCGGCAGGTGCCCAACTCGATTCCTCCCCCACCATACCTGTTGTGATGCACACAATCTATGGGGGAAATGGGCTTTTGCAGCACCTAAAGAGACTGGCAGGCTTTTCACCCTATCCATCAGAATCCCCAAGCGCTCCACGCCCATCTATCTCATATGGAGATGAGTGTGCCCACACATACGGGGCACTGGATCTTATTCTCCCCCGCCCCCGTACTAGGTATGGAATCCAAGGCCTTCACACTGAGCAACAACTCCAGAATTTTTAACAATTTTTAATTCTTTGAGACAGACTCTCACAAAGTTCCTCAGGCTGAGAATGAACTTGTGACCCTGCTGTCTCAGCCTCCCAGAGTGCTAGGATTATAGCAGGTTCCACCAGGCCTGGCTTGAATCTTAAAGACTGAAACATGGATGGGAACTGTGGTGCCTGCAACCTCAGCTACTTGGGATGCTGAGGCAGGAGGATCATAAGCTGCAGCCCAGTCTGGGCAACTTAGTGAGACACTGTCTCTAAAATGATAAATAAAAAAGGGGTGGGAACTAGCTCAGTGGTGGAGCACCTGCTGAGCTTGTGTGAGACCCTGGGTTCGTCCCCAGGACCCCCTCCACGATGCACAGAAGGCTGAACCCCAACAAGGCTACCCCAGTAGCCAGGCTGCAGTGACTCCAGGACCACACATGCTCTGCGTCCAGCCCTAACTCAGCCACCTACAACTGTGTGACAAGCAAATGACTTCACGTCTCCGTGTTTCAGTTGCCCCATCCAAGAAATGGGTCCCTCACCCTACTTGTACCCACAGGAACCTCATCATGGGTGCTCAGTCAGCGGGGAAGGTGGGGCTGCCCACAAACAGCAGTGGCTCCTGGCTGCACCTGGTCACTCACCCACAGGGATGGGAACTTCCCTGGGGGAGATCCAAAGACCCAGAGAGAACGCTTCCTGAGTCTACAAACCTGTTACATGAACCCAAGGTTTTTGTCCTGTTTTCTTGTAGGAACGGGTCCATAACTTTCAACAAGCCCCTTTTTGTTTCTCTTTCTTTGAGGGGATGCCTGGGATGGAACCCAGGGTCCTGTGCGTACCCCGCCAGTGCTCACCAAGCTGCATCCCCAGCCCTCGTCCATTGCCTTAGCTCAAAAACCCTAAAAGAACCACTGTCCTGAGAGCAGAGCTGGGTATGGCTCAGTGGCAGAGTGCTTGTGTAGCACTAGGAGACCCTGGTCCTGACCCCAGCACCACCCTGCCCCCCCAAAAGAATGAGAAACAGAAAGGGGAGGGGGCGAGGGGCTCACACAAGGGGCCCTCACAGGCAGTCCCCGGGCTGGGCTGCAGCCACAGCAGCCGGCACCATCTCCCTATGCCACTCGCTGGCCATGGGCACTGGGCTGCCCAGCTTCCTGTATGCTGGAAGCAGGATGAACACACAACAAGGGACCACAAATGGAGGCACACGCAGGGACACTGAGGCTGGGGCAGACAGCTGTAGGGACCACCAGTGTGGGACTGCAGAGAGGAGGGAGGCCCAGACCCTGTGCCTCCAGAATGGACACCTACAGCAAGCGCGCGAGCAGCGGCAAGGGATGGAGGCAGGTGGGGCCCTCTGGGACAGTGTCTGGGAAACCCCTTCTCTGGCCCCACAGAGCTCAGAAGGAGGACAGCTACCTGTGGCCAGAGGTAACAGGCCTCCCGACGCCCGTTACCCCATGCTTATGCCTATTGGTGTTCGGCCAGCAAAGCGCTCAGCTTAGGGCGACTTAAACAAAACCTCAATGCAGTCAAATAGAATTTGATCCACATTCAACTCGGACAGCATTTTCAATGACTCATCTAACACCAGAAAGAAAGAGAAGGTGGGCTGCCAACAGGAAAGACTTGCCCTGCTGCAACCTGTTTGAGTGACTTACTTCTCTGAAGGGATGATGGGCATGTTTGTCTTCACATCTGTAATGGCAAAGGAGCTCTGTTAGTTCCAGACATGTTTCCCTTAAGAGGGGAAAGCACACACTGAAAATTGAGGACAGGAACAGAGCTCAGGTCGCAAGGTCACAGCCTGGAAGGTGAGTGCTGACCAGTCAGCGACGGCTCCATGCGACCTCAGGACCATCCTTCGCTCCAGCTCAGTAGGGACAGCAGGTGACACCAGCACAGGGCCCTGAGACCCCACAAGCCCCCCACTCCCCGTGTGCCCAGAGGGGCTGGGAAGTGTGCCGGGGCACTGTGAGTCTGGGGTGTGGATCTGGGCTTCTGGGCTCTGGCTCCAGCTCCAGGCATAGGGTGGGCTCCATCTCTTCCCCTGAAGTGCTTCCCAGGTCACCAGAAGGTCAAGTCTTAGTCCTGTTACCCTGCCCTCGAGCCTCCGTCAAAGGCACACATGCTGCTCAGTGTTCAAAGCCTAGGAGAGGGCAGAGCCACAAAGGTCAGTGGACCATGGGCACACCTGTGGGCAAGGGAGCCCGTGCTTGCCAATTCGAGGTTGTTTTAAAACAGGATCTTGCTATGTAGTTCAGGCTGGCCTTGAACTCATGGAGATCCTTCTGCCTCAGGCTCCCACATGCTGGGATTACAGGTATGTACCACCACACCTGGCTCAGGTTACTGTTCAAAGCTGATGGATTCTGGGATGGTTTATTTATTTATTTATTTTTTTGGTACCGGGGATCGAACTCAGGTCCTTGCGCTTGCGAGGCAGGCGACGGAACCACTGAGCTAAATCCCCGGCCCTCTGGGATGGTTTATTAAGCAGCATTTTTCTGTCAGAGAAAATGGACAAAAGGTCTATCCCACTAGGATTAAAGAAATAATATCTGTTTTAGTTACTCAAAAATAGTTTCTCCCTGTGAGATTAGGCAGCCCACCCTGACGTACTTGTTTGGGTGTTTCATTTTTATTAAAAAACAGCTACTTTTTAAAATTTAACTTTATTTTGTAATTACTATTTTGTACATTTACAAAGTTCCAGTGTCAAGTCTGTATGCTCTCACCTCTTCCTGTCCTATTTCCTTCCTCCCTAAGACATTTTTAGATGATGGTTTAGCTGGGCACAGTGGTGCACACCTGCAATCCCAGCACCCTTGGAGGCTGAGGGAGGAGGATGGAAAGTTCAAGCCCAACCTGGGCAACTTAGGGAGACCCTGCCTCAAAAAATGTTAAAAAGCGGGGAGGGGATGGAGCTCAGTGCAAAGGCCCTAGGTTTAATCCCAAGTACTAAAAAAAATTATGGTTTCTTCTTCCATTTTTAATTAAATTTATTTTTAATGCAATACATAAAGTACTTAGTAAAGGAATATTGTGATGTTCCCTTACATGAATACACTGTGTAATGTTTAAATCAAGTCATACACACTGATCTCCTTAAACCTTTCTTTGGTGGTGGTATTGGGCATTGACTTGGTCCTAAGTTGCCTAGGCTAGCCTTGAACTTGTAATTCTCCTGCCTCGCCCTCCTGAGTTGCTGGGATTATAGATGTGTGGCCACTTTGTGAAGCAAATTCTTTCATTTTTAAAAACAGAATTTAGTGCATAGTTGTACTCCCTTCCTGCCTGTGCCCCACAGTGAGCACCCTTCTGCTGGGCCTCAGGTCACTCCCAGCCTCTGAATGCCACAAACAGTGCTACAGCAGTGCTACAGCCAGCAGCTTTCCACCACACCCTGTTGTGCTTTTGCCGGTGCATCTTTAAGACACATTCCCAGGAGTTGGGGTGCTGGTTAGGAGCAAAGCATGCGATGGGGCAACCGCATCCACGCAGGCACGATGAGGCTGGACCTTCACCACTGCAGAAACCACTCAGAATGGGACAAAGACCAAACACACGGAACTGAGCTTGTAACTCTCAGAGAAACAGGGCAGAGGCTGTACAGGCTGGGTTTGGCAATAGTTTCTTAAAAATGGTACCAAAAGCACAAGCAACAAAAGGCAAAATAGATAAACTGGACTAAGTTAAAATTAAAAATCTTCACTGGGTGTGGTAGTGCACACCTGTAATACCAGCTACTCAGAACACTGAGGCTGAAGCAGCAGGATCAAATGTTTGAGGCCAACCCGGCCGGACAACTTAAGCAAGACCTCATCTCAATAAAAGCAGAAACAAGAATGGAAAAAAAAAAACCTTACCACTTAAGACCCACTAGGAAGACGTTGGGCGGGGGGGGGGGGGGTGGTGGCAATACAGAGAATCAAATCTAGGGCCTCACACTTGCTAGGCAAATGCTCTACACTGAGCTACATCCCAGCCCAGGATGACTAGTATTTAGAGAGAGAGAGAGAGAGAGAGAGAGAGAGAGAGAGAGAGAGAGAAGGGAGGAAGGAAGGCAGGCAGGCAAAGGTTGCCAGGGATGTAGAGATGCTGGACCCCTGCACATGCTGATGGGAAGGCAGACGGTACAGACACTGTGGTAAACAAACCGTCCCTTAAGAAGTTACACACAGCACACAGGTATGACAGTGCACAGCTGTGATCCCAGCACTTCAGAGGCTGAAAAAAGAAGACCATGAGTTCTGAGGGCTGCCTGTCTCAGAAACAGAGCAAAACAAAAAGGAGGTTAAAAGTTAAATGCAGGGGCCAAGGACGCAGCTCAGTGGTAGAGTGCTTGCCTAGCATTCAGGAGTTCCTGGGTTCAGTCCTTAGTACCACCCCCAAAAATGTTAAAAGCAGAACCACCATATGACTTAGTGATTCTACTTCTGGGTATACATGTAAAAGAACTAAAAAGAGACTCCAACAGACATCTGTAGGCTGATGGCCACTACATTATCCACAATAGCCAAGATGTACAAACAACCTAAGTGTCCATTAGCAGGTGCACAGATAAACAAAAGATAGTCTGACCACACAGTGGAATATTCACTCACGAAAAGGAATGAAGTTCTGAAATGCACTATGGCAGGGACAAACCTTAAAAACATTGTGCTGGGGCCAGGGATTTAGCTCAGTGGTTCCGCCGCCTGCCTCCCAAGTGCAAGGACCCAAGTTGGATCCCCGGTATCAAAACAAAACAAAACAAAACAAAACATTGTGCTAAGCATAAGAAGCCAGACATAAAAGGATATTGTTATGAGTCCTCTTATATACAAAATACAGAGAAGAGGGAAATTCACAAAGGTTACCAGAGACCAAGGGGAGAGGAAGAGTGAAGGAAGCAGAAAAAGGATACACAGTTTTGTGAACATTGCCAGATTCCCGGATGGAGGGGCTGCACCACTGACTCCCACCAGCCACTCGTGGAAGTGTGTTTCCCAGGGCCCTACCACCCCACCCTGTTAGGTGTCCACACTTTTCCTGCTGAACTGGGATCTCATTTCAACCATGAATATTTTCTTGTAATAAAATGTTTTAAAAATCTTTTTAAATTATGTCATAACCAGGTGGAGCTGGTTCTTCAGTTTTTCTTCCCCTTTTCCCTATTTTTCATGGAAACTGTCAATGTGCCTGTCACTCCTCTGAAACTTTACTGTCTACCTGAGCAGTAAGGTCACCAAGGAAAGGAAGTGATGACGCACCAGAAAGCAGTGAGGGATGCGCTGATTTACCTTTCCATTCAGCAGCCAGCTTGGGGTCCGACACTGAGAAGCTGGGCCGGCTTCTTGAGAGGGTGCCTTTTCCAAAATAGCCCTTCCGGGGAGAGAGAGCAGTCAGTGGTGGTCAGACGCCATGTCCCAGCTGCAGCAGGATGCAACTGTTGGGGTCCCGAGTGGCTCACCCCACTTTGCACAGCTGTCCATGGTTATTCACAGCCATTTGGTACCTCTCTGGGGAGCGCAGGAAGTCTGCAGTGCACCTTGTTGACTGACTCCAGTCTAGCCTGACACACAGAGGCCACAGGCGGCAGGGACAGAGGCTCGGGAACACTATGTACCCCAAGGACAATGCCGCCCAGCCCCTCTGCACCCCAAAATTGAAGTGTTCCTCCCTTGGGGCTGATTCCAAAAGCAACACAGGGTCCGCCACACTTTCTCTTTTGGGGTACTGGCGACTAAGCTCCGTCCCCAGCCCCTTTTTAGTTTTTTATTTTGAGACAGGGTCTTACTAAGTCTCTCAGGGTTGGCTCAATTTTGTAATCCTCCTCAGAAAACTGAAATAACAATAAAATAAAAACCCTTCAACCAGGCATGGTGGCTCACACCTGTAATCCTAGCACTTGGGAGGCTGAGGCAGGAGGACTGCCATGAGTTTGAGGTCTGCCTAGACGACATGCTGAGTTCAAGGGCCAGCCTGAACTACACAATGAGACCCTGTCTCAAAACAACCACAAAAATAAATAAATAACCCTTCACCCTCCATGTAAATTTAACAACCAGAATACACAAAGTGCATGGCACTTATAAAGACTTTTGCTTAATATCAGGGGTTTCGAATGAAGGCCTCACTGTTGAGCTGCGGAGAGATGGGGGCCTGTGCTCCCTGAACCAGAGGTAGGGCCACCCACTCCCCTACAGCCTGAGAGGGCGGGGGGAAGGTGACAGGAGGCCACTCACTGCTTGTCTCAGGCTGTGTGACGGGCGCAGGAACCCTCTGTGGCGACAGGACCACCCTAAACTGGATCGTGGGCCTGGGGTGTAGCTCGGTGTTGCAGTGGCAGGCCCATAGCTTACTCCTCAGAAACCAAAACAATGCCAAATATCGAAACTGGATTGTCGTGGTAGCTGCAACCCTCTCTAAATGTCAGACAATCACTGAACTGCGCATGGACGGAGGGAGAGCTTTAGGGCTGTAAATCATACCTCAGTCAAGCCAATGTTTAAATGCTCCAAGTCATGAACGAGCTACAGGGGGGGAAAGAGCAAGCAAACTACCAATCTCGGCCCAATCCATGGCTGCTGGAAAACAGTACAAACCAGACCTTGACCCCATCTAAGACACCCAGCCAGGTGAGCGTTCATAGACCTCGCGGACCAGTCCAGGAGCTGGAGGAAGCTGCAGGAATGTGGTGGGGGACAGGGGGCACTCGCTGGGCACACACCACATTTCTGTAAGCAGGTCCCTCACTTCACAATTATCACGCGCTGCTTTTCTAATTGCTGCAACGCAGGCCAGAGTACAGGGGCTCCTGGGTCAGCTCACTACCCCAACCAACTCGAGGCCTTGGGCACCTGATGCCAACTGCACCAGACCAAGGTGGCAGGGCTGGGGGTACAGGGAGGAATGAAGGCACTCACTTTCCCATACAGCTGCTCCATGTCTGCAGGGCTCCGCACGAGCACGTGGTTGTCGATCATCTCGGCACGGAATACTCTGAATTCCTTCTGAGGACCTGGGTCCTGACCAAGTGGGATTGGCAGAGGAGACTCATAGCTCTCATACACTCTTCTTTTCCTCTTTGGGGCATGGAACACAGCCTCCGCCATCCCTCAAGGGCAAGAGCTCTTTAAAGAAACAGCTAATAATACTCTGATCATTTATATCCAGTCTTGGGAAGTGCTGTGGTCTATGGGGAAAACAGGATCTTTACAGCAGTTACCCAGAAGATAGGGAGTCACAAGAACACGCTGTTCCAGCAGTGCCAGCCACAGTCACCAAGAACGTCTCGGCCCTGAGGCCCCAGGGAGGCAGTCTTGGTATTTCCACCGAAAGGGGACAGTAAGGCCAAGTGACCGCAGCGTGACGTCTCCTGGGAGCAAGCACTGCTGGATCCCTGCCTGCCGGGACTTTGTTCCTGGCTTCCCTCAGCCAGCCATGTTTCCTGAGGACTTTCAGGGCTCCTGGTATTCACAGGACATAAGATGAAGCCAAGTTAACAGGTTAAATCTAATGAGCACACTGTGTTCCAGAAAGGCCTCAAATACATCAGAAATACTGGGTTCATCAGCTGCCAGGATCAAACCCAGGGCCTTGCACATGTGAGGCAGGTGCTGTATTACTGAGCTGCCTCCAGCCTCTGCTCCAGCCTTTTAAAGTCATCGATAAGGAATAACTGATGGGGCTGTCATCATTTAAGGACCCCATGCGTATCACCCACACTCGCTGCTGTGAGCAGCTGGCTTTGGCAGCATGCAAACCAACACTAGAATGCCTCAACCACTTCCTGGGTAATTCTGGGCAAATGTTATAGAATCTCTCTGTGCTTCAGTTTCCTCAGCAGCAAAATAAGAATCAAAATGGACTCTATCTCATACTCCCTGACAGCAAAAAGGGAGTTAAACCCAGTGGCCTGGACACAACAGAGACCCAGAGCTTGGGAAGACGCCACAGCAGGTGAGGGTAAGAAGAGAGTCTTTGGTGTGAGGGATTCAGCTGCCACTGCACCAGATGTGCTGGCGGGAGCTGGGAGCCAGGATGGGCTGCTCCCTCGGCCCAGGAGTGGGCCTGATATAAATGGGGCGCTCGGGTGGGACTTGAGGACTGCAGCTCCAGGGATGCTGAGGGATGGACAGGACTCATCACCTGGGTGCCCTCAGCTCTCCACACCGGCCGGAAACTGTCAGAACTCAACCAAGCCGAGGCAGGAGGTGAACAGCTTTAAAGGTTTCATGACCATTAAAAAGAAATGAAGCCGGGGACTTAGCTCAGTGGTTCCGCCACTTGCCTAGCAAGTGCAACGTCCCGAGTTTGACCCCCAGTACCAAAAAAGACAAAAGAAAAAAAAATGATGCCGGGTGTGGTGACACCCTCCTGTTATCCCAGAACTCAGGAGGCCGAGGCAGGAGGATCACTGCAAGTTCAAGGCCAGCCTGGGCTACATTGTGAGACCGTGCCTCCAAAAAAAAAAAAAAAAAAAAATTAAAGCCCTTAGTGTGTGATGATACCCTTATATAACTCCAAGAAACTGCTGAGGAACTAAATGAGGACACAGACCAAGAAACTGATGAACCGATGGCAAAATCACCCTCAAAAACCAACACAGAGCTGCTGGGCAGGGACAGAGCCACCGAACTGTGTTTGGGCAGCAACATGGAGGACAGTTGAGTTTCTACCTAAGGTCCTCAAGGTGGCGCCACCTTCACTTCCACTTAATACTAACTGGCACATATTGCATTTGGAATTTTTTAAAAAGGAAAAAAAGTTTGACGGCCAACTTTAGCTCCAATTACATTTTCTCAACAGATGAAAACACAAAGTTGAATTTTAATTTGCCTGGCTTTGTTTAGGGCTCCCCCTTTCCGACTGCTGTCAGACTATGCGAAAGACAAGACCCAAGCTATGACACCAACTTCCTAAATCTAAAATCCTAAAGGTGAGGCCAAGGGACCCAGATGATTCTAACAGGCAGCCAGGTTTGGGGATGGCTGCCATGACAACACCTCCACATCTACCAATCAGCTGGGTCCCACCATCACCGACTGGAAGTTAGCGATGTCAATTACAGTAGTACTTTGGTTCATGAACTTAATTCTCTCCACGATTCTGGTCGCGAACTGAATTGGACAAGAACTGAATCAAATTCAATGGTTAGGTTCAACGTTGACCTTATGGGGAAATTTGGTTTTCACCCAATTTAGTCTGCAACCAGAACTGCAGAGAGAATTAAATTCGAGAACTGAGGTGCTACTGTATTCATAACTGGATGTCGCTGAACTGTGTACTGGCACTCTCTAGGGTATCTTAAATATTCTCCATTTCTATACTCAAACCCTTTCTTGGTAAATACTACCCATTTCGTTCATCTGTCAGGGTTCTTCTCTTCAGAAAAGAGAACCAACAAAATATATACAGTTGGCCCCTTATATATGCAGGCTCTGTATCCATGGATCCAACCAACAGCGGGTAGACAACACGGGGGAAAATCACTTATATGTGAAATAGGTACATTTCCCCCTTTTCCTTATTCCCTAAACTTTAGGAATGTGGAACACATTTGAAGAGTGCTCACATCATAGGTAGAAGGGATCTGAGATGATGTCAAGCATGCAGGAAGACGAGGTTGTGTGCAAATGCTGTGCCTTTTACACAGGGACGAGAACACCCTCACACCTGGGGACCAGGGGTGGGTCCTGGAACCAAGTCCCCCGAGGATACCGAGGGATAATGGTGCTCCAACCCAAGTGCATGTGAGAGGAGCGTCCTTTCACTCTGCAACTTTGCACACTGTGAGCTGAGCCCAGTTCTTTCACCCTTGAATCAGACAGCAGTGGAGAGCAGTCAGGCAAGTGCTCAAAATGCAATACACTGAACTACCATAGGACCCTGCACTTCCACTCCTTAGCATAGTTCATGGAAAAGTTTGTGCACGAATGCTTACACTTGGTGTTATTCAGCCATGTAACTGCCAAGAAGTGGACTCCACCCAAATGTCCACCCACAGGCGGCTGATCAACAGAACCTGGTCTACCCACACCATAGAACATTACTTGGCCATGAAAAAGGTGTAAGTGCTGATACATTCTCCAGTGAAGGAGCCTCCCAAGTAGTATGCTGAGTGAAGATTCCAGGTACAAAAAAGACCACCGGTGAGATTGCTAGCATGAAACATCTAGAACAGGCAAATTTGCAGAGCTGGGGGCTGTGGGAAGGGGAACATGGGGAGTGACTGGTAATAGATTGTTTATTTGGGGGCTGAATATTCTAAAATTAGATTGCAGTGAAGGTGACAGCTGTACAATTCTCTGAATCCTAAGACTACTGAATTGCACATTTTAAAAATCATAAATTTTACGGAAATATATATATATATCTTGAGAGAATATAAAGCTATTATTTTAAACAATCTGGTAAGAGGAAAAGCACCTTCCAGGCTATGAACTGCAAGAATGGTTTCATACTGTCTCAAAAAAAAAAGTTTCATACTGTCTCAATGTGATGGTCTTGGGTTCAATCCCCAGTACTGTAAATACACACATAAATAAATTTGGTATGAATACCAACATCAGCCTTCTGGAGAAGATCGGAAAGAACTGTCTCACAAGGCAGAATTCCCTTTCCAGGAGGGAAAAATCTCAACACGGAAAGCTTCGTGGAAGAATTCTTTGATGCTGAGCCTAGCATGGTGAGCACGCCTGTAATCCCATCACTCAGGAGGCTGAGGCAGGAGGATTGCTTCGAGTTCATGGCCAGCTAGCTGGGGCTACGAGAGAGAGAGAGAGAGAGAGAGAGAGAGAGAGAGAGAGAGAGAGAG